TCTTTACTTTGCGGAAGACGCGCAGGTGGCGAACTTGATGCAACGACCCTTGGAAATGAACAACTCCTGATGTACAGTGATTCTGAACTCTGACACCTACTCTACCAGAGCTCTCCGGAGGCCTGTTCTTGTCGCCTCGGCGCGGCCGGGCGAACCAGCATCGTTACGATGGTCAGCCCACCCAGGGGCTTGCTCCTCCACCGTTGGCAGCCTGAGGCGCGCCTCCAGGGCAGCTGTCACGTGCGGGAGCGGCACGCAATCGTCGAGGGTAGTCTCAATGGCCTGAGTGCCTACATCACACAGCAAATCGTAGGCGCCCTCGAAGGACTACCACGAATCCGAGTTGATCCCGGGAGAGATCAGATCCTGAGACTTGGCGTTCCCCGCATTGTTAGGACATTTTTGTGGAGGAGGGGGAGGGGCCACGGTATTCGACGGACAAGCCCCTCCACTGCGTTCTAACGCCACCCTCGGTTGGTCGTGGCGGCATGGTGCAGGTAGGGAGCCATCTCTCCAGGCTAGCACCCCAGGCCGCGCTCGAGGAGCACGCGGCCTCGTGCCATTTCGACATCGGTAAATCGTGAACCCCGCAGCTCGAAGGTGTCGACGCCGATGCCTCTGCACAGAAGGCACTCGCAGCGAAACCTCCGTCCGATGCACTAGGCGGGCGCGGCCCCAGCATAGCAGGGTTCTCAGGGCTGCCGCTGGGTCGCACTTTCGACGCGGAACTCGCGGCACAGTACACCCTAGGCGATGCTTAAGAAAACCTAAGTTTTCGTCCAGAGTCTCGATTATTCTTAACTTTTCAATGTAAATCACAAGATTTTGTTAGAAGTTCTGGGTTTTATTCAATTTCTGAGACTATGAATTTCTTAACCCATGATTTCTTAAGCATTTCGCAGGGTGTATTTTGCATTCCCAGTAGCTCTGCCAGGGCCCCCTTTCATTGGCCTTCCTACCCGGGGGGCGGCCTTCGCGCCCACGGCGTGGGGCGGGCGGCTTGGCTGGCCTTCTCGCCGTGGGCGCGGAACCCAGCGCAGGCCATTCGGGGTCGTCAAGTTCACCACCCACCAAACCACCCCAACCCAACCCGAAGGCTCAGATTTGCCCTCCATTTCCAGTGGGGGGGGTTCGCGGAACGTCGAAAAAACACGTATGGAACCCTTACCCCCCCCAACCCGAAATTCGGGTCTTCGGGTTGGGTTGGGGTGGTCAGGTAGGTAGTCACAAGTTCTGCCCGACTGAAGGCGCTCTTGTTTCTTGGCCGCGTGCTCAGCGAGGAACTTGGCCACCTGCACACCAAGCTGGGCCCAGTCACCGCCCTGCTCGTAGAGCTACTTGAGCCCGCTCTGGAGCCCGTCATCCGTGAAGCGGGACTCGCCCATCGGCTCGACGCCGCGGTCCGCGCCGCCGAAGGGGTCTGCAGTGCCAAATGGCGCAGCGCTCCCGCCGCTAGGTCCATTGGCCCCAGCACCAGCACCCGCTGCTGTGCAGCAGCCTCGGCCATGGCCTTCGAATATTGCTCCTGCCGCCGACGACGTTGCTCCAGAGCCTGCCTTCTCTTTTACGAGGTCGTGACGGGTTCGCGGGGCCCCGCAAACCCGAGCTTGGTGGGGTTCTCGATGTTCTCCAGGCGCACCTTGTGCGAGCCCTTGATGTTCCTTTCGAGCTCTCCACGTTCCTCTTGAAGCATCTTCTCGCTGTCGTCGATGGCCTTGTCGAACTCGTTGCGTTACGTCGTGGAGTTTGCAACCCGCTTCTCGAGGCGTTCGACCTTCTTTCGACTGTTCTCGACCCTGTGTTGGGCCGCGGAGGCTGACGTGGGCTTGCTTCCTGGTCAGCAATGTGCTTCTCTCGCACCTTGGTGATCGGGCCCTCGTCGATATTGCTGTTGCTCTGCTTGAGGACTGGAGGACCTGGCTGTGCGACAAGTCCGACTGCTCCTGCTGCTGCTGCTGCACGACTGCGGGCTGCCCACCGCCGCCGACGGGCGAGCGCAATGCCGCAAGCTCCGCCTTGAGCTCCTTGATCGCCGCTGACACGCCTCCTGGTGGACCGCGAGCCCAGGCCGACCCACGCCCATCGCAGGGGATGGACCGCTCGAGGTGCTGCGCGGTGGTGGAGGCTGCGCGGGCGATGCGCTGCGGGACCGGCACTCCCCAGCCCCTGCCTTTGAGCCTGCCGGCCCAGCTGCCGCCAGTCCCGCATCTGCACCGCCACCTGGGGCATTGCTGGAGGCCTAGAGGTTGACACCAACACCAAGATCGGCGGCGTGTCTCTACCGAGGGAAGATGTTCCCGATCTCGGTGACGGTGGTAGTAATATTCAGGCTTTCAAGTTGGCCGAGTTATTACCACCAACACTAAAATCTAGGACCATCTTACCCCTGAGGAGGCAACCCCCTGTGTGGGTGTTGGTGCCCATGTCCAGGCCTCCAACACTATGTAGGGGCCTGGCAGCTCCCGGGCACGCGATTCGCAGAGACTGGCTCGCAGACGCGGCGCCACTCCGAAGCGCGCGCCTGCAAAGCACCCTCGCTTGTCGACATGGCTGGCGCGACGAGGCAGAGAGACGGGGGAGGATGAGGACGGGGAGGGGGTCCGCGGACACCTGTATGGCCGCATCTCTGGCCACGAGGCCGAGATGCGTTCCATGGGTCGGGGCTTCTACTGAGGGTGCGGGTTCGTCTGTGGTGGGGACTCGTCATGGTTGTTGCTTGGTTGTGGAACTGCTTGTATAGCAGTATCCTTTACAGTCAACCCCGCCCTCTCAGCCAACGTCAAGTGTACCCCCTCCAGTTTAGGGCGCTGGATTTGGGTGAGCTGCAGTTGCCCTTTAATTGAAGGCGCACGGGATCTCATTAGAGGAGGCCATCGTTGAGGATGGCAGCAGCAGCAGCAGAAGGTGGCAGCTGGCATGGCCCTCTTTCCACCCCCCCCCTCCTGCCTATTCGCCCGCTGGACGGACGACGCAGCGCTGGTGCAGGAGCCGGGAGGGGGTGTAACTTTTAACGTCTTCCTTTTGTTTGTTGTCTCGTATTGTTATTAGTATTATTTCTATTCTTATTATTATTCGTCTCTCTCTCTCTCTTATTTCTCTCTCCCTCTCTCTCTCTCTGCTTCCCTCTTCTCTTCTGGTTCTCCTTGGGCGCGCGCGCCTGCATTTGGCCTGCGGGTTTCACTCCGGTTGTCTGTTTGGAGCTTCCCGTCCGATATGCGCGTGTTGGGGAGGGAGAAAGACAGCACGAGAGAGAGAGTGGGAGAGGGAGAGGGAGAGGACTACTATGGAACTAGCAGCGGCGCAAGCGTTTCCAAAAGTTCTGCCTGCTCGCTGCTTGCTCGCGGCGATTTTTTCGGAGCGGGGGGTGGCCGAGGCCGTGCAGCCCCGGCCCCCGCGCCTCTTTCGCACGGCCACCCGCGACCCAGGTGCGCAGCACTGGGGGCGCGAGGGGGGAACGCGCCTCAGGCGTGGAGGTGGCACGTCCCAGAGCTTCTCCACGCCAGCCTCAAACCCAAAGCTTGCTGTGCATCGTCGGCTGCGCTCCCAGCCCCCTGGTAGAGAAACGGCGTGCCCTTCAGCGCGGGGCGTCCACTCATGATGATTGCGTTTCTGCCCCGGGGATGGTTTCTCAGTTTTTGTCCCCTGATCTTGCTGGTTTTCAGTCGGGCAGGTCCCTCTACAGGAGGAATATTCAAGCGTGCGTTTTTGCAGTCAGCTTCTCTCTCCCTCTCTCTCTCTCTCTCTCTCTCTCTCTCTCTTTCTATAGAGAGAGAGGTCGTGGGGCGTATTCGTGACCGAGGCTCGCAGTGGCCAGGCGCGCTCATTCGTTCCTGGGTCGGCATTCCGCGCAGTAGCACGACAATTGTGGGTTGTGGGTGGTCAACCCAGTTGGCACCCCACGGCGTACAGTCAACCCGCATGGTAAGGATGGGTAACATGCCCAAGGGTACCCTTGCATCCTTGCCTCCTCGGTCCATTCTCCGCCAGCCCCGCTCGAGAAGCTTCGACATGTGCGTCCAAGGCCCTTACATCCTTTTCGCGAATCCTTATTATACGCTTCTGCTATATGACCGTGCCTATCGTGGCCCTGCGGATTTGTAGGTTGCGCACGCATGCCGGGCACGGCGCAGCAATGCCCGATGCGTTAGTCGCCGGTTGAGGGCGTTGTCTGCCTGTCTGGGGTCAGCGAACTTACGTGTGCGACAAGCGCTTGGGGCTCATTGGCCCCCACTTGCTGGACGCGTGGCTTCCGCCGCGCCACGTCACACTTTCTTGCTGCAGGCGTGGTTATCATCCGACCCTCACGTGGATGCGCCGACGTTGGACCGCACTCCGCTCCTCGGATAAACCGACGTCGGATTTGCAGACGTGTAATCGGTTGTTGGCGCTCCGATGATCCAGCGTTGGACTACTCCGCCGTACATTCTTCTATTCCGCCTAGGTGGAAGCCCGAATGCTACTGCTTCTGGATGGCGACAGGGTGCGCTCTGCTCGCCCCTCTCCCTCTCCGGTCTCTTCCCCTGTCTGCCCCCATCTCTCCCTCTTTCTTCCCCCTCTCCTTCCCCTCCCTCTTCTCCTTACCCCTCCCCCTCGCCATCCCCCTCCCTCATCGCCCCTCTCCTCCCTCTCCGTCCCCCCCTTCCCCTCCCTCTCCTCCCTCTCCTCCCTCTCCCTCCCTCTCCCCCCCACCCCTCCCCCATCCTTTGCATCACCACCGTGTCCGCATCCCTCTCTCCAGGGCCTGGGTCACCGACGGAGCGTCCGCCCACGCCCCTTCCTCCCCGACCCCACGAATACTCCCTCGCCCCTCGCCCAGCATTTCCCCTCGTCCCCCCACCCTGCTTCCCCCTTGTCGCCGCCGCGCCGAAGCGCCGCCACCGTCGCCGCCCTCGTTGTTGCCGTCGTCGTCGTCGCCGGCGTCGCCGTCGCCGTCGTCGTCGCCGTCGCCGTCGCCGTCGCCGTCGTCGGCCGAGCCGAGCCGCGGTCGAGCCGCGTCCCAGGCGGTGGGGTTGTGTCGAACGCACTGCACTTCACGTTCATGCACGGACTCTCCGACCAGCGGAGCGCCAACGCGCTGCTGCACGAGTTGCTGAGCCACCTGGTGGCGAGGTCCAGAGGCCAGCGCGGGGGTGAGCGGAGGGGGAAGGTTGATGAGCCTGTTTTCCACCACCACCACCATAAGTTGGAGGGGGAAGGAAGGAAGAGGGCGAGGAGGGGGAAGAAGAGGAGGAGGAGGAGGAGGAGGAGGAGGAGGAGGAGGACCACCCCCTCCAACTTATGGTGGTGGTGGTGGAAAACACGCCCATCAAAGGTGGTAGCAGGGGGAGGGGGGAGGAGAGGGGACGGAGGGAGGAGGACGAGGAGGGATGGCCACTGCTCGTCGAGCGCCTGGTCGCGTTGCTTGTAAAGCTCGGGGGAGAGCGCGGGCGGCACAGCTGCACGAAAAGGGGTGGGGGGGGGCCACCACGCAGCCCGAACAAACTTTGGTCAGACTGGCCCACAGCTGGAGCCGCCGCTGAGCGCTGCCTCCCCAGCCCTCTCAGCCCAGGGCGGGGGCTCACCACAGTGCAGACTGCTGCGAGGAAGGGTTCCACGGCACAGGACCACCTCACACTCTATAATCTACGCACGAGAGCGAGGCGATCACATGTTGGGCGCGCCCTGAACAAACAAAGAAAGTGGGCGCACAGCCGTGGCTCGGTGAAGAAACTTGGTGATGCCCGGCTGGCTGGCAGCAGCAGCATCGTAGCTCTTCCGCGTCTGCCCCCCTCCCCCCCTCTGGGCCATCTTCCTCCCTCCTCCTCCCTGCATCACCCCATTCCTCCCCCTCCGCGCATCCGCCCCCCCCACCCCCCCTCCTCGTCCGGTTCATCCTCCCCCCGTTCTCTCCCCTCTGCCCTCTTTCTTGCCCCTGCTCCCCCCCTTCCCTCCCGCCCTCCTCCAGCCCGCCCCCCCCTCCAGCTCCCCCTCCCCATCCTCGTCCTGTCACCTCCGCCCCCTCCCTGTCCCACTCCTCGCCCCTCCTCTGTCACCCTCCGCCTCCTCCGCCCTCCACGCCCGCGCCCTCCCCGCCTCCGCCCGCCGCGGCGCCTCCGTCCTCAGGCGAGGTGCCCGAGGCGCCGACCCCGCTGCCGTTCCCGAGGCCGCCGCGGCAAGGGCCCTCTCTGGGCGGCCTCGCCGACGCCGCCCTCCTCGTCGTCGTTCGGAGGGGCTCGACGTATACACCGCGTCCTTTGGTCGGCCCTTGAGCCGAGGAGTTCGGCGGAGGGGTTCGGTGCATGGCAGCTCCAGCGTTCCCCGGGCTGGGAGGTTTAGGGCCTCCTGATGTACCGAGCTCCCCGGCGGACCCGACGATAAGGCTTGTACTTCGACCCCTTCCCTTCCGTCGTCGTCGCCGTCGTCGTCGCGGGCGTCGCCGTCGTCGCCGTCGCCGTCGTCGTCGTAGTAGTCGTCGTCGTCGCCGTCGCCGTGGCCGTGGCCGCCGCCGCCGTGGTCGCCGCCTCCGCGGGGTCGAGGGGGGAGGGTCAGGGGTCAGGGGTCGGGAACGGACCGGGGGGGGAAGGGGAGCGGGAGGCGGTCTGCAAGGGGAGGAATGGGAGCGGAGAGAGGGAGGGGAAGGGAGAAGAGCCGAGCGGAGCCCCAGCCGCTCTCTGCTCTCGGGGGTGGTAGGGGAGGCGGGGGGCGGCGAGGAGAGCGACTGATCCCAAGTGATCTCGTTCCCTTGCAGGGTTTGCCTGCCAGAGGTGTGCATCACCTCTCCTCCTTTCAACTGTTGCCTGTGTGATCGTGAGCTTCCAGTCGCACTGTTGCGCTGCTTCGCTGGGAAGGGAGGGGAGCTGAGGGGAGCCGAGGGAGGACTGGAGGGGCACCCGCAGCGGGTGAGGCAGGGTGGCGCCGCTCGTGCCAGGCGTGTGTGGGGGGGTGGGGGCGGCCTCCTCCTCCTCCTCCTCCTCCTCCTCCTCCTCCTCATCCCCCTCCTCTCCTCCTCCTCCTCCTCCTCCTCCCTCCTCCTCCTCCTCCTCCTCCTCCTCCCCTCCTCCTCCTCCTCCTCCTCCTCCTCCTCCTCTCCTCCTCCTCCTCCTCCTCCTCCTCCTCCCTCCCTCCTCCCCCCCCTCCTCCTCGCCTCCTCCTCCCCCTCCTCCTCCTCCTCCTCCTCCTCCTCCTCCTCCTCCTCCTCGTCCCCCTCCTCCTCCGCCTCCGGGCGGGCGGGATCTGCCGGCCAGGTCGAACGAGGACGTCCTGACGCAGGGCGAGCCGGACTACGGGAAGCTGCTGGAGTACGCGCTGGCCCAGGCCATTGGAGAGGGAGGGAGGGGGAACAGGGAGGAAGGAGGACGGAGTTGCGAGGAGGAGGAGGGAGCAGCGAGGAGGAGGAGGAGGAGGTGATGTGAGATCAGACCAATCGCATACCGATGTGAATAAAAGCCGCCCTCTGAACACCACGATCTGCAAGGCCAAGATGCAGAAGACCGCCGCATGAGTCTCGTATTGGTACCGTGGTGGTGGGGCGCGGCTGCCATTTCGTTTCAGCTTCTTGTCCTGCTTTTCACGGTCGCGGTTTAGGGCAATAAGGTGACTCGTTTGCAGAATGTTTGCTATATCGGCGTTCGTTTGCATCCTGGTTTCGCTGGTTGTGCTGTTCAGGACGCAGTCCTTTCTACGCTGTGCACTGGGCAAGGCAATATGTACATCTGTTCTCAATTGGCGCTGGGGTTATGGAGCGAGGCTGTCTGTGGGGTGGGCGTTCTTGGCTCGTGATGTGGATGTGGCGCCGCACTTTCGTGCACACGCTTGGGCTTTCTGCACGAGTTCGCGTCTACTTCACTTCAGCCTAGTAACCGTTCACACCTCGGCAATGATTTGGGCGCATATTGTGCATTCCTTGCAGAGTAGTTGCTGGAGTCCATCTGACAGTGATTCAAATGCCAGTACAGGTGTGAAGAACATACAGAGAATGCTTGCGCACAACCGTGACACGATGCACGGTACGTGTCACGAGCCATGCCCAAGCACCCAAGAACGATATGGATCACGCGGGGCCAGTTGCCGACACAATAAGTGGCAAACTATGCACCCAAGAAATGCATGTAAGAATAAGCCTCTCAACCCTTGGTGGTGGGCTACTAGGGCGCACACCTGGCTCGTTGACCGCTCAGAGAGGGAAACTACCAACTAACAAATCCCAGCTAAGCTGGGATTTGTTAGTTGACCCAAAGGTTGACACCAACACCAAGATCGGCGGTGTTCCTCCGCCGTGGGAAGAAGATCCCGATCTCGGTGATGGTGGTAATATTCTGGCTTCCAAGGTGACCGAACTATTACCACCAACACCGAAATCTAGGATCATCTCCCCCCTGTGGAGGCAGCCCCCTGTCTTGGTGTTGGTGCCCATTTCCAGGCCTCCAAAGCTTGCGATGCTGACCAAAGCGTCAGATGAAACCCGTGGAAGCAAAACAACGAAATGTATTGAAGCACCAGCCGCTCAACCACTGGCGGTGAGCTACAAGGGCGAAGCTCTAGCCCCCTGACCGCCAGACAGGGCAAAATACCCATCGACTAATCCCAGCATGCTGGAACCCCCATCTGAAGCCACAACAAAGTGCCGAACGATGAGCCGGCACCCTCGGACATATTTGCAACTGCCCCAAGCCCAGGAACGTACACACGAAATATGTACATACCCACTGATGAGAGCAGGGAACGCCGGAAACACACAGCCAGCGGCCCCGATGAACGGCAGTAGATAGTGCGCCGGAATGAGAGACCATACAGCAAACGAAATATCGTGGCAGGCGACCCTGCGTGCTTGGGGGCTCAGGTGTGCGGGCATATCAACCACTACGGATGCCGCGTTGCTGAGCCACCTTGGAGGAGGGGTTGAGAAGGGGGAGGTCGAATGGAGGGAGGAAGGAGGGGAGATGGGTAGCGGCGGCGAAGAGCGAGGAGCGAGCGCGAAGCGAGGTGGGACGGACGAGGAGGCGGAGGCGAAGAAGATGGAGACGAGGACGAAGGATGGGGAGGAGGCGGAGTATCGATTGATTCTGCCATCCCGCTGTTCCTCTCTCGTCCGATTTTCTCCTCCTCTCCCTCCTCCCCCTCCTCGTCATTATCCGTCTTCTCTCCATCCTCCGCCGACCTCCAGAAAGCCTTCGGAAGTTCCCTAGTATTGTAGATTCATTTCGTACTGAAGCCGCCGAGGACCTCAGATCACAGTCGAACATTGTCGACAACCCTGCGTCCGCAAGACACCGACAACACTTTGACTGCAAGCAAACATGACACACCACCCTTCCTCCTGCTCACTTCTTCACGCTTCTCTGGGTTCCGTCCTCATATCTCCTCGTTGCCTGCTCCTTCTAATTCCTCCTTGCTCCTCCTAATAGATTCGCCTTTCCCTTTCATGACGACGCTGCTGACCTTAACGGCAACGACGACGACGACGGCGAGGGTGGCGACCTCGATGTAGACGACGGCGACGACGATCCGACGACGACCACGACTAGGGCGAGGGCGACAAGAAGGACATCGATGACGACGACGATCACGAAGAACTCGATGGCGACCCTGCCAACGACGACGACGACCATGACCACGACGACGATTGCGAAGACGACGACGACGACGACGACGACGACGACGACGACGACGACGGCAGCGACGACGACGACAACGGCGACGGCCGCGGCGGCGACTGCGGCGGCAGACAGAGCCCGCGGCAGGCCGACCACGGTGGGCGGCCGAGCGTGAAGCTGCCCTCCAGCCTGCGGTCCACGGACCGAAGGCCCAGGAGCGCGCCGCCCCCCCCACCCCTTCCATTTCCTGGCCCTCCTCTAAAGTCGGGCCTGCTTTCCCTGCACAGAAGGAGTACGAACAAAATAGTCAAACAAATAGTCTGGGGACGATGTTTTGGCTGGTTTTGAAATTTATTTTTGTGCATGTGCTGCTATCTTTTATGGTTCGTCCCAAATTTGCCTGTAGGAGGGCATGCCCGACCTAACCCTCCCACTTCCGCCTCCCCTCCTTTACCGCCGGACCGAGGTACAGGATCGAGGTCGCTTCGGGGAGGGCATCCTGATGTTCTTCGTGTGTGTTGGATTTTTTTTGTGCACCATGGGGAGGTTACCCTTGGATGTTTTTTTTCTGTGCGTTTTGGCCGGCGAGGAGTCTCGTGTTCTTGAGGGATGTGATTATGTCTCAGGTTCGATTGCATCGACCTTTCTATCTCCTCCCCCTCCTGCTGTCATCTTCTCCTCCCCCCCCGAGGAAGAACTGGGGGCTTCAGCCAGACCAGCCGACGGCCTCCGAACGGTTGTTGGACATCCCGAAGATCGAGGCCATTTGTTCGGGGAGGGGGCGCAGTCGTCCTCCTCTTCCTCCATTTCTCTGCCTCCTCTTCATCCTGCTCCTACCCCCCCACCCCTTGACCCTCCTCGAATCCTTCTCCTTCTCCTCTACCTCGTCCTCCCTTACTCCTTCCTCGACACAGCTTCGGCGCAAGGAACGCCTGCACCACCGCAGAAAGGTCCGTGGTGTTGCCCTTTGACCGTGTCTTACCACTGTTCGCCCCCACATGTGCCCGTCATACTAGGTAAATGCCAGTCGAGTTGGTCAGAGCTTGTTGGAAGTCTCAGCACGGATGAGGTCAGGAGAACGGACGGGTTGCACCAGGACGTGCCATTCCTTGTTAATGCGGAACCGCCCTCTGTCGGTCGAGATTGAGAAGGACCCGAGCGCCCCAGGATCTGATGTTTGCAGTTTTCTTCGCCTCAGGCCCTCCACCGCGCCAGCAGCACCGTGGGCGGCTCGAATCGGAATTGTCGCCCTTCGTAATCAGGCTTCAAGCCTGCACTTCGGCACGCGTCCGAGGGATAAAGGATGGTTGGCCCGCACGCGTCGCATTGTGGGTCGTGTGCCCCCTTACCGTGCTGCTCAGCTTCCAGTGTAGGAGATCTGCTGGTTCCGTGCCACCTTGGCATGCGATTTGTCCCGGTCCCCAGTGGCGGGCCGTGCGCACCTCATCGCGCGGCCCCGTTTCCAGTGTTGGCGTGTCGGGCGGGGAGATGCGGGTTCCGAGCCATGCATCCCTGCGCAGTTGTCGTGGCATCTGGTTCGTGTTGTAACTGCACTGGGGTGCGAGGCCAGCGCAGCACGCACATGGCCTTCTGGGAAAGAAAACAACACCGCTTCTTCCCCTCTTCATGTCCCCCTCCCCTTCCGCGCGGAAGCCCGGGAGGGCAGCGCCTTTCCTGGATTCGTCTTGTCCCCCGCCCCATTCGCCGTTCTCATGGTGGTCGTGCTCCTGCCGCTTCTCTTCCTCGTCCCTCTCCTCCTCTGCCTCGCCCCCTCCCGCTTCTCTTCTCATCCTTCTCCTCCGCCGTCGCCCAGAACGTCGTCGGCGGCGGCGGCGGCGGCGGCGGCGTCTTTGCCTTCGTCATCGCCTTCGGTTTCGTCGTCGCCATCTGCCTCGTCTTCCGGGTCCTCGTCGTCGCCTCGAAGTTCAGATGTTGTCGTCGTCCTCGAGAGGAGGGAGACTGGCGAAGCGAGGGAGGAGGACGCAGGGGTGGGTAGCTCCATCCCACGAGACCCTCACGTGTGATTACCTTCCACCAGCGTGGCGAACACGATAGAGAGGAGGCAGGAGGGAACCGAGAAGGAGAATAAGGATGAGGAGAGGAGGAGGGGACTGGGAGCCGGGAGCGGGGCGCGGAGGGGTGGGTGGGTGGGGACGGGGGGAGGGACAGGGAGACTGAGGAGAAAATTGAGCAGGCGGAGGAGGAGGAGGAGGAGGAGGAGGAGCGGGATGAGTTTTTCGGTTGTGCGCCGCCCGGGGTCATCCAAAGGTCCAGGATGAAAGCGGAGGATGATGGGGATGGCGAGGGTGAGGATGGGGGGGAAGATGGGGAGGAATGGCGGGAGCTGGAGGAGCAGGACAATGAGGGGTAGCGGCAGCGGGAACCTCGGCGGAGGCCTAGCAGCAGTAGAAGGAGGAGGAGGAAGGAGGAGGTGGAGGAGGAGGAGGAGGACAAGCAGGGTGATATTTTATAAGAAGGAGGAGGGGGAGAACGGAGAGTAGGAGGACGACTCGACGAGCAAGAAAAGAAGAAGGAGGAGGAGGACAAGAGAAACATAACCAGATTTAGGATGGGGTAGTAGCAAGGAGGAGGAGGAGGTGGAGGAGGAGAAGGAGGAAGAGGACGAGGAGGAGGAGTAGGAGGAGGAGGACAGGGAGGAGTGGCGGCGGCACAGTGGAAGGGTCCTCCGCCGCCCCGTCTGGCAGGCCTCGGGCAACCACAGGATGATGATGCCCGAGCAGATAGACCCCGGGACGGAGTACACCGCGGAGCAGAGGAGGACCAGATGCCCCTCGAGGGACCCACATATTTTCAAGGGGAGGAGTGGGAAGAGGAGGAGGAGGAGGGCGGTGGAGGAGAAGGAGTAGGAGGAGGAGGAGGAGGAGGAGGAGGAGGAGGAGGAGGAGGGCGGTGGAGGAGAAGGAGGAGGAAGAGGAGGAGGAGGAGGAGGAGGAGGAGGAGATGCGTAGCCCCCGGGACGGAGTGCACCGCGGAGCAGAGGAAGGCAGAGTGGCCACGGAGGGCCCTGAGGCATCTGTAGCCCCCGGGACGGAGTGCACCCCGGAGCAGAGGAGGAGAGCTGGCGCCATGGGCGGGTTCTCGGCGGGTCTTCGCTTAGATTTCTGAGGCTCCCCCATGCTTCCTGCGAATTCGTCCTCGGGTGGCCTTTGAGCTTAATACGTTGGCCCAAGAGGAACCCCAGGAGGATATCCTCAAGAAGGCCCCAGAGGGTCTCATCATATCCCCAACGGTGAAGAGGAGGCCGAGGAGGAGGAGGAGCAGGAGGAGGGAGGGAGGGATCCAGGTGGGCCGCTTCCACAACGAGTTGCCCCAAGCAGTACGGTTTGTTCGTGCGGCTTTGGCGCGCCAGCGACGCCGGCGAAGGCGTTTTAGGTTGCATTCTGCGACGCGCAAGCAGCTATGAACACGGCAACGCCACCGGGCAAGATCGAATGGAGATTCGATCGATCGAGGCCGCGATCAAAATCCAAGGCGGAACGATCGACGCGGCGTCAAACGCCTTGGCGCGCGCCGACGCCGCACGAGCCCTGCCGTGCTCGCACTCGGGCGCTTTCTCACACCTCTTCTCTGAGGCGCCCGGGCCCCGGCGCCTCGTGGCCGCCCGTCGCTGCCCGTGGCCGCCGCCCGCCGCAGGGGCTCTGTTCGGGCCGGTCGAGAGGGGGGGGGGGATGGGAGGGAAGGAAGGAAGGGAGAAAGGAAGAAGGAAGGAAGGAAGGAAGGAGGAAAGGAAGGAAGAAAGGAAGGAAGGAAGGAAGGACTGGCAAGTTGACACACCCGAGGAGGGTACGGAAAACAATGAGTATGATGCCCGACAGCAGATGCTGTCCAAAACCGACAGCGGTCGCTGTTTGGCAGGCGGCCTGCTGTCTCAAGCGGGCGACATCCGCGGCGACGCCGGCGGCGCGTCCTGCTCAAAGGGGGGGTTCGCGGCATCTGCTGCGTGCAGCTGGTTTTAGGTCGGGCCTGTCCCCCTACGGGGGGATTTTCAACGAAACATAAAAAGATACCCCCAAAATGCCCCCAACAGGTCAAACAAGATTGAAAAAATGGTCCCCAGATTTTTATTTGGATTATTTTCGGATTTTTTTGGGGGGTATTTTTTGTTTTTCGTCGACAATCCCTCTGAAGGGGGACAGGCCCGACTTGAAGCTAGTTTCGGCCCCACTGAGGGACCCATTCCTCGACACATGGCGGCCTCTGGCGCCTGGAGGCACTGGGGACATCAGCGACGTGAGCAGATGCTCAAACCCCCGCTTTGCCATCCCCCCCTTTCGTTCCCCCCGATCTGTGGCGGTCCAGCCAGCTCGTCGACGCCCGTCGCCGCGACGCAATCGCAACGCAATGCGGTGCAGGGCAGCAGACAAGGACATAAGCGTAGAAGCTCGAAGATCCCCGCGGATTTCTCGGCTCGGCGCAGGAGGCCCCGGGCGCTCCGGCGCTGCCCTTGGCGCGCTCCGCGCGCCAGGGAGGGGGGTCCAGCGCCGATCCGAGCAATCCGCGCGGACCTCCGAGTTTTTATGATCATGCCATGGCTTGTTTTCCCCAAGTGTGCTGCATCGCTTAGACCGCGCAAGAGACCACCGCATCCGGAAGTTCAGTTCTGGACGGGTTTGCCAATCCTATATATATATATATTGTTGTTTTTGTTTCGTTTGTTGCGGTTGCTGTCAGCGAGTGTTTTTTTCCCCGCAGTGCATTCTCATACGCTTGCGACCTTGCCACCTGCAGCGTGTTTCCCGTATAGATTCCTTCCGATGTGCTTGCGCGAGACCGAGTGACGATTGCGTGACATTACCCGTTTGCCGCGAAGCACTCGCGGGCGCTGTTCAGGGGAGTTCGCGGTAGTAGCAATGTTGTCGTTGCGGCAGTGTAGCGCCGCGCTGTGTTTCAGGCGGCACCGTGACGCCCGTTTCGCTTGCCAGTTGCACGTGTCTTGCATGGGCGGACTGCCCCCGAGCAGCGCTGCTTCGCGCGGTGTGATTCGGCCGATTCTGCGTGACGACGCATGACGACGCGCTCGTTCATGCGGGCCGACCGTGTCTGCGCGACGACGCCCCTTGTATTGTCTAGCGTGCCGCCAAGCCTGTTCCTTCTGGGGACGCGGGCAACCCGCACCGTGTCCCTTCTCGGCGGCGCGCCAGTATTTTGGATTGCCGCTCAGTTTTTCCCAACCAACCTGTGGTGTTGGGTCCTCGTGTTGACGAGACAGCGCTCCGCGTTCTCTTCTCCTATTCTCCTACCATCCCCGTGCCCCATTTCGGCACACAACCCAAATACGCTTCGTGGCCCAGTAGAAGGCTCGACCAAAGGCACTAGCGGTAGGGTCCGCCTGGCGGCCCCTCGCCAATTTCGGCACACCATTCACACGTCTCGTGGCCACATATGGAACTCCACTGGCGGCCCCAGCTGCAGGGTCCTCATGCCCCGCTCCATGCCGGGCACACCCCATCACCCGCTTCGTGGGTTTGTAGGAAGCTTTACTGGAGGCCGCGGCGGCAGGGACCACATGGCGGCCCCACCACGTTTTGTGGCACCAGTGGAGCTCCTCCGAAGGCAGTAGCGACAGGGTCCGCATGGCGGTCCAACGCCAGATTCGGCACACCCCTCACACGTGTCGTGTGGCCCCATAAGGAGCTCTTCGGGAGGCCCCACTGGCAGGGTCCGCAATGCAGCGCATGACGGCCCCGCATCCGATTCGGCACACCACTCACACACACTTCGTGGCCCCATTGGGAAGCCAAACGAAGGACCCAGTGGTATGGTTCGCATGCCGCCCCCCGTCCAATTTTGCACACCTCTCACATTCTTTGTGTCCCCAGCCCAAGCTCCTCCGAAGGCCCCAGCGGCATGGCTCGCATACCGGCCCCCCCCCACACTTGGCACACCCCTCATTGTTCGTGGCCCTACATGGAACTACTACACATAAGTCCCCAGTGGCATGGTTCGCATGCCTCCCCGTTTTTTGGCACACCCCTCGCACGTTTCGTTGTCCCACGCCTCAGAGGAGCCCTGCCGGAGGCCCAGCGGCAGGGTCCGCGGGGCGACACGGCGCCTCTTTCGGCACACCCCTCACCTCTTTCGTGGCCCCAGAAGGAGTTCCACCGAAGGCCCCAGCGGCAGGGTCCGCACGGCGGCCCCGCGCAAATGTCGGCACACCCCTCACGAGCCTCTTGGCGCCACAGGAAGCTCCACCCGAGGCTCCAGTGGCAGGGTCCGCATGGCGGCCCTGCACCTATTTCGGCCCACCCGTCACGCGTTTCGTGTCCCCGTAGGGTCTTGCTTCTCCTTTGTCCCACCTGCCCTGCGACACTCGCACCCGATATGTGTTTCGCCTGGACATGTGTTTCGTCCAGCATTTGCATGTAGCGCGTTTGTCTAAGCGCGCCCTTCCTCCATAACATGTTGTGTTCCCAACCATACAGTGGTGTTCGGTCCTCATTTTGAAAAGGCGGTCCCCGCGTCTCCTCTGCCTCCTGCTGCTCCCTCCTCCCGTCCCCCCCCACTTTACACCCCTCCCTCACACGTCTCGCGGCCCTACTGGGAGATCCACCGAAGGCCCCAGTGGCATAGTTCGCACGCCGCCCCCCTCCACTTGGCACACCCCTCACACGTTTCGTGGCCCCATGAGGAGCTCAACCGAAGGCCCCCGTGGCATTGTTCGCATCCCCCCCCACACCCACGTTGGCACACCCCTCACACGTTTCGTGGTCCCATAGACAGCTCCACCGAAGGCCCCAGTGGCATGGTTCGCATACCGCCCCCCGTCTTCTTTGGCACACCCCTCACACGTTTCGCGGCCCCACGAGGAGCTCAACCGAAGGCCCCAGTGGCATGGTTCGCATGCCCCCCCTTCTATGTTGGCACACCCCTCGCACGTTTCATAGGAGCTGCACCGAAGGCCCCCATGGCATGGTTCGCATGCCGCCCCCCAACTTTGGCACACCCCTCACGCGTTGCGTGGCCCCACAGGGAGCTCCACCGCAGGCCCCAGCGGCGGGGTTCGCATGTCACACCCCTCCACTGTGGCACACCCTGCATGCGCTCCGTGGCCCCACAGGAGCTCCACCGAAAGGCCCCAGCGGCAGCGCCCGCATGGCGGCATCGCCCCATTGCGGCTCACCCTTCGCGCGCTCCGTGCCCACACGGACTTCCACCAAAGGCGGCTCTCACAGCGGTGCCATTCACAACTGCATAGGGTCAGTGCCTTCGCTCGGATAATTGGGTCTTTATTGCGCGCATCTCAAGTTGGACTGCCTAATAATAATAAAAAAAAAAAAATCAAGTTGGATGGCCCGGTCGGCCTTTGGAGGGCGCGACTTCGTTGACAAGGCATACGCGTTGCGGTCGCGCGTGCAGAAGGGGGCGGTTGCATTATGTCGACATGCTCGCGGCAAGTCCCGCGCTCCGGCGCGGCGAGTTTTCGAGCACCGCTAGGAAGGCCGTAACACGCGACAAGTCGTCACCTACAGCCGCACAAGGACCGCAACATGTGACATGCAGTTCCGCGTCGTTTCGGGGCGTATTCCTTCGTCGCCGTCGCCCTCCCCCCTCCCGCCGTCTTTCCGTTGTCACGCATCCCCCATCCTCCATTTTTCTATTGTTATTGCCTCCCTTGGGGCTCCCACGTGGCACTCTTAAAGGCTGTATTGGGCTTGTCCTGGGGGCTTGTCGGGTTGTCTTGGGAGCCTCTTGGGACACTCTGGGGCGGTCTTGGGGCTCTCTGGGACATGTCGAGGCCATCGTGGGCCGTCGGGAGCTCCCCAGGGGGTCAGTTGGTGCCGTCTTGGCTCGCGCCCGCCTCCATCACGGTGTTTTTACTTTGCCCGGATGCAGTTCAGATACAGCGGCGATTGCAGCAGAGTCGTCTTCACGTCTCGGCGGAAAAGTTGTTTCATGTTTCCAAGTGGGGCAGCTGCTTGGGGGCCTCCGACGGCCACGCCGGGACGTTTGAGTCTTGGGCCCACACGCCACAAGAAGACATGGTGGACGCTCCGTAACCGTTTTGGCTCAAGCAGGGGAGGGCCTTGGTCTGGCGGTCTGCCATGCCGTTGTTTCTGGACCACTGGCATTGGCCAGCACACTGCGCCGCGGACCATGCCGCGCACACGGCGGACAGCTCCTTCATTGCAGCTGGCCACCACTCGCCGCACGCGGCTGGCGGCGCTCTCCACGCGGCCGCGGCGGTGGACGGCCGCGGGGAGCACGCTGCTGGCCACTCGTCCTTCTTAGGCTCCTGCCCGTCGGGCCTGCTGCGGGGCGGCTGCGGGCCAGCGCACGCGGCCGTGGGCGGTGCGGCAGGCAGCCATGGCCACCACGACGCGACCGCCACTCAGGCCGCATCTTTCCTGGAGCGCCCTGCCGCCTCGGCCAGGGGGTGGCGGCACCGTCCTGCTTGGCAGGCCTCCGCCGCCTCCAGCGCCGTGGGCGCTGGTGCTGCTATCGGTGCGAAGGCCGCTGTCGGCGTCAGCAGGGCGGCGTCCCTGGGCTCGTTCCTGTCGCTGCCCAGCCAGAAGGGGCTGATGGAGCTGGTGAAGGCGGCTCCGCCCAGCGTGCTGGTGCCCCTGCACGCCGCGTCGATCGTGGTGGCTCTGCCCGGGCACCTCGCCTTCGAGTTGGGAGAGGGGTACCTCTTCGGGTTCTCGAAGGGCTTCGCGCTCGCGATGACGGGCAAGTCCATTGGTTCGCTGGCGGCCTTCACTATTGGGCGCTCCTGCCTGGGCCCTCTGAACTTGCGGGATCGGATGCACCAGCAGCTTGAGTCCTGGCCGTCCGCGCGCCGCATCGCGAAGAGGGTGGAGAGCAACGGTGGCCTCACGGTGTTCAAGGGAGGAAGAACCACCCGGACCCGACAATTGGCGTTTACTAAACGCCTTGGGCGTTTACTAAGCAGCCTTGCCCTGTTCGATTCCTTTTGGGGGCGCGTTTGCTAAACGACTTCGCGTGTCGGGAAGATTATTTTTGGGGTGGATTTTGTTGACATCTAGGTGTTCCTCATCCGCATCGCTCCGGTGCCGTGCGTGGTGAAGAACTACGCGGTGGCCGTGCTGACGGACGTGTCGTACCCCGTGTACTTCGCCGGGACGCTGGCGGGCTTGCTCCCCACCACTGCCGCCCACGTGGCGGCCGGCGCCCTGACGCCCTCCATGGCCGACCTGGCGAGTGGCCACGGCATTGCCACCCGCGCCGTGGCTCTGGCCAGCACGGTGGTGGGCCTGGGCATGATCAGCGTGGTGGCCAGCTTGTGCCTGCGCGAGGACGTTGCCGACGAGGACGGCGAGGCCTGCGAGGAGGAGCCCGGGACGGTGAAGGTAAAGGCCGCCGACTGAGGCAACCCGAGGCGCACCTGCGCTCGGCGCCTCCGCTCGTAATTACCCCGCCCATTGCTGCCCCGCCCTGGGGTGACGCTGCCCCCTGCGCTGGCTGGGGTCCTCCCGAACGTTGCGGTGACCACACCGTATGGTGAGGCAGTGGGAATCCCAGACCCCCGACGTCGTGATTTTAAGCAGCGGGAATCCCGGACCCACGACGCTGTGTTTTTTTGTCATAACGTCGACACTCAACAGTCTCGACCCATTCCCCTGGACAGGTTTGCCATTCTGAGCTGTTTTTTTACGGTCCCCAGGGACGGTAAGGGCTTCCAGAGGCCGAAAATTAGGAACAACTTCCCATCGTGATTTTTCATCACGCGAGGGGGTCTGGGAAGTGTTGACGGCTTCGCGCATCCTCACAATGAAGGTGCCTAGGCCACACGTGTCCGCGGATCGGGTTCGGTTGAGTTCGGTCAGTGGTCGTGCCACTGCTGCGTCGCGGGCGCCCTTCTGGATCTGCCATGCGGCGCGCCAGCTTTTGTTCTGCCGGTTTCGGCTTTGCTGTTGGGATCCAGCCGTTGTCGCGGTGGGCGGCATGGAGGGTAAGAAAGCATAACAATAAAAAAACATCGTGGACGTAAAGAATCTTTGGGTTCTTTACTATACCCCCAGTGGCCTCGATGGTTCCACAACACGAGATATCTTTGGGTCTCAAGTAAGGACCTCATTTAGGTGCCTGGCGGTCCTACAATGAAAGGCCTTGCTGTGGGTCCTCGGCGGTCGCAGGTCCCTTCGGTCCCATAGGTCTCGAGCATCCCACAGGTCCCAGATGCCTTGCAGCCCTCGACCTGCAGGCCCTCCAACAGGTTCCGCAGGTCCCACTGGTCCTACCAGTCTACAACGTCTCGCAGGCTTCGCAGGTCCCACATCGTCCACAAGTCCCACGGGTCCCGCAAGCCCACCAGGTCTCACAATTGTCGTGCGTCTCTCAGGACCCGCAGGTCCCACAGATCCCTCAGGTCCGGTCCAACAGGTTTCACAGGTCCCAAAAGTTTCGCAACCCCCATCCAGGCTTCGCAGGTCTCAGAAGTCCCACAGGTCTCGCAGGTCACACAAGTTCTACAGGCTCAATAGGTCCCACATGTCCTACTGCTCCAAAAGGTCCAACACGCGCCGCAGGTCTATCAGGTCTCGCTGGTCCCGCAGGTCCCACTGGGCCCACAAGACCTACACGTCCCACAGCTCTCACAGCTCCAGCAGGTCTTCAGGTCTTGCAGTTTCTACAAACCCCTCAGGCCCCACAGGTCTTACATGTCGCACAGGTCCCACAGGGCACACAGGTCCCACCGGCCCCACAAGCCCCACTTGGCCACAGTTCCAACAGGTCCCAAAGGTTCCACAGGTCCCGCAGGTCTCGCAGGTTCCTCCGGTTCCACGATTCGAGGTCCTGCAGGACCTACAGGTTCCACAGGTCTCGCAGGTCTTACAGGCCCCAGAGTTCTCGAAGGTCTCGCAGGCCCCGCAGGTCCCGCAGGTTCCACGGCTCCCACATATCCCACAGGTCCCAGAGCTCCAACAGGCCTCGCAGGTCTCGATTATCCCACAGGTCACCCTTGCTGCTATCGGGTTCTTTGATTGGGTGAGTTTTCATGGATTGTTTGCGCGTGGTTGTCTGATGTGCGCGCGGTGCAGAATGGGCCTTGAGCGCAAGTGCAAAACGTTTGCCCTAAAATTTGGAATTTTGCCCGTCTTGGACGTTGTATGTGGACTTGCGGAGGCGGTGGTTTGAAAAAGCACTGTCTGCCGCTGCTGGCAGGGGGGGATTCAACCCCCTTGTCAAATCTGGAGGGTGGGGATCCGGACCCCCCCGTTCAGGGGCAATTTGTTCGGGGAGATCCAGCAGCCCCCTCACGGCAACGACGACGACGACAAAGACGACAACGCTTTCGCCGCTGCCGCCGCCGCCGCCAGCAAACGACGCACGTCGGCGCCGCCAGCAAACGACGCGGACGATGACATGACGACGAATACGACGACAAATACGACGACGACGACGACGACGACGACGGCGACGGAACACGACGTCGACGACGACGGAGCACGGCGGCGACGACGACGACGACGCACGACGCACGAAGCACGACGCGCGGCGCATGACCCACGACGACCACGACGACGACGACGACGCCGATGCCGACGCAGCCGATGACGACGACCCCGACGCCCACGACCACGACGACGACGACGACGATGACGCCGACAAAGCCGACGACGACAACGAATACGTCGACGACGACTTCGACGACGACGACGACGATGACGACGAGACCGACGACGAAGACGGAGAACGGCGAATACGACGACGACGCACAAAGCACGACGCACGACGCACGACTCACGAAGACGCCGACGACGACGACCCCGTCGCCGACGCAGACGCCGACGCCGACGACGACGCAAACGACGCCGACGAAGCTGACGACGACGACGACGACGCGCGACGCACTTCGCACTTCGCACGACGCACGACTCACGACGATGACGACGACGACAACCCCGACGCCGACGCAGACGCCAACGCCGACGCCACCTTCGACGACGACGCCGACGAAGCCGACGACGACAACGGCGACGACGAAGTCGACGAAGATGACGTGACCACGACGACGACGACGACACCGAGCAGAGTAGATTAGAGCAGGCGTCGAATACAATACAATGGAGTAGAGTAGGGCAGGGTCGAGTCGAGTAGGGTAGAGTACGGTGGGAGAGGGTAGGGTGGAGTAGAGTACGGTAGAGCAGAGCATAACATCGAGATTCGAGTAGAGTCGGACAAATTCGAGTAGGAAACGGTATAGGAGTAGAGAGTAGAACAGGTTTGGAGTATATCAAAGCACAGTAGAGTAGAGCAAAAGTAGAGTATTGCATGGTATGGTATGGTAGAGTAGGGTAGAGTAGATCAGGGTTAGAGTAGAGCAGCTAGGAGTAGAGCAATTTCGAGTAAAGTCGGTTAGAGTAGAGTCGGGTAGAGTACAGTCGGGCCCTGGTAGAATTCTGAAACACATGGAGCGAACCCTAGACGACCACGACGACGCCGCCGATGCCGACGCCGGCGCCGACGCCGGCGACGAGGAAGACGACGACGCCGACGACGCCGACGACGACGTCGCTGTCGACGTCGACGACGACGACGCCGACAACGACTAAGGTGCCGACGAAAACGACGGCGATGACGAGCAGAGTAGAGCAGACGTAGAGTAGAGTATCCCAATGGCCTTCGGCCCAGCCCGCCAGCGTGCCTGGATTGTGGGTCAGAATTCGCGGGATGTTTCATCGGGTCTCAGGCAATTGTAGGGCCCTTTTGGGGCCGCTTGTTGCGGATTCGGGAGGGGGCTTTTTCTTGGGACTTCCTTCGGGCCCCTTGGGTCCGAGAGCTCGAAATGTCAGTTCTTGTTCCCCCATCTGGGCCCCCTTTTGAATTTGTCTTTGGGGCCTCTAGGGTGCCTCTTGGGCCGTCTTGGGGCCCTCTTGGGCCGTTTTGGGGCCCTCTTGGAGGCCTCTTGGGCCGTCTTGGGGCGATCTTGGGGGCCTCTAGAGCCGTCGGGGAGCGTCGGGAAGCCGAAAAGGTGAGGAAGCCAACCACGTTCAAAAACCATAGGAATTATCCTGGCGAAGGACCCAGCCACATGCAAGTGTGAGTACCGCAGGGCAGGTGGGACAAAGCAAGGGGAATTCCCAATGGGGCCACGAACCGTGTGAGTGGTGCGCCAAAATGGGGCGGGGCCGCCATGCGAACCTTGCCACTGGGGCCTTCGGTGGAGCCCCCTGTGGGGCCACAAACCGTGTGAGGGGTGCGCCAAAATGGGGCGGGGCCGCCATGCGAACCCTGCCACTGAGGCCTTCGGTGGAGCTCCCTATTGTTGCCACGAACCGTGTGAGTGGTGCGCCAAAATGGGGCGGTGCCGCCATGCGAACCTTGCCACTGGGGCCTTCGGTGGAGCCCCCTATGGGGCCACGAACCGTGTGAGGGGTGCGCCCACATGGGGCGGGCCGCCATGCGAACCATGCCACTGGGGCCTTCGGTGGGCTGTTTATGGGGCCAGGAACTGTGCGAGTGGTGCGCCACACTGGGGCGGGGCCGCCATGCGAACCCTGCCACTGGTGCATCCGGTGGAGCACCCTATAGGGCCACGAACCGCGTGAGGGGCGCGCTAACATGCGTGGCCGCCATGCGAACCCTGCCACTGGGGCCTTCGATGGAACTCCCTACGGGGCCACAAACCGCGTGAGGGGTGCACAAGAATGGGGCGGGGCCGCCATCCGAACCCTGCCGCTGGGGCCGTCGGTGCAGCTCCGTATGGGGCCAAGAAACGCTGTAGTGGGTGGGTGAAGTGCAGGGAGGAAAGAGGAGGGCGAGGAGGGAGGAGGGGGAGGCGGAGGGAGGAAGGAGGTGGGAGAAGAACGCGGGGACCGTCTCTTCAAATCGAGGACCCAACACCACAGGATGGTTGGAAACAAACAATGAGGTTAGTCTTTGGGGGCCCTCTTGGAAGCCTCTTAGGGGCGTCTTGGGGCGTCTTGGGGGCCTCCTGGGACGCCTGAGCGCATTCTTGAGCGTCGTGGCGCGATCCTTCGGCGACTCGGGGCCCTCTTGGACCGTCTTGGGGGCCTCTTTGGGCCATCTTGGCCCATCTTGCGGCCCTCTTGGGCCCGATAGCCACGCGACACGATGCCGGGAATCCCATGGGGGGCACGCGGGGAGCCCCAAGGGAGTTTGGGAATTGGTGTCCGGGCCTTTGGCAGACTCCTCAGGGGTGAGGAGTGAGGCTCAGAGGCTTGGGCCCAGGACCTGAGGACACGCCCACTCCGTGCCAAGCAGCATGGTGGCGGGGATAACAGCAGGAGCAGAGTAGAGTAGAGCAGAGCAGAGTAGAGTAGAGTAGAGTAGGGTAGAGCAGTGTCGAGTAGAGTAATTGGGGTGGGATACGGTAGGGTAGAGTAGAGTAGGGAGATCCTGT